AGTCACAGATGGCGCGAGCGCTAGTTGACATTACTCAGAATTATCAAACTTAAACTTTTGTCGAAAAACGAGGCTCTTTAACGCCCCACGCCAATATCAGAAACCATATTTACCCCGAGAACGAACCGGCAGTTTATATTCACTAATCCTCCCACACTGAATCCAATTCGACGGTATGCTGTAATTTGTAGCCAAGCTAGTGCATCTTTCTTGTATCTTCCAGATGGCGTATTGGTGACCCGGACAACAACGGCATCGACCGTTTTTGCCGCCTACAAATAAAGATCCAAGAACGCTGGGCAAAAAACCGGAATGCAGTCTGAGCTAACTAAGGAAATACGAAATGACCGAGCCATTTGCAGACTGTTGGATATGTCATAGATATTCACATCAGTTAAGCTTGAGTCCCCGACTATACTACGTAAGCCGTAATTGTTCGAATTAACGGATACCTTCAGAACAAGTTTAATGAAAGCGTAAGTCCGAATGGACGCAAAGACCATCACTGCACTGTAAAATGGAGCTAAGACCTTTGCCATATGTGGTTCCGCACGTATCATGTAGACCATAAAAAGTATCGACATGAAATCTTTAGAGTACATCAAGAACAAAGCACCCTCGATTCGGCAGTTCAACACAACCATTTGCTCGCTCAGACAGTTGTAATCCTGGATGATTTTTTCCAAATGATCCTGACTGCTTGTATTGGCGTATGCTGTAGCCAAGTTGTCAAAGCAGAAGATCGCGATAACTGTCAGCAAAATAAATACACTCTGTGCCACTAAATAATGCAATTGGAAAAAATAACTCCCGCTGTATAAAACCAGCGCCAATGGATAGCCGTAGGAAGAATGGAGAATCAAGTAATTCAGCGGTGCCGTAGAGGTCGTGCTTCCGTATCTGTACTGTGTGAATTCAGTGAACGCCATGAAAGCTGTAAAGCCGGAAAAAACGATCAAGAGGAAAACTAGTGCGATTAACTGACGGCCATTTCTAGCCGTTAAGTTGCGCCCGGTGAGAGTGCTAAATGGCTGCAGCCACCGTTCGAAATTCCAAAACGCAGTGCTTAATGCGATTCCGGTTGCTGGAATCCAAACACAGTACATCAGATCTACCAGCTTCCCAATGAGTTCGGCATTGCTCCGCGGTACATTCTCCAGGCTCTTTATGACGTCAGCCAGTTGAATACAGGACAGGATGGTAGCCACGAAAAACAGTGCACAAGACCATAATGTGAGGAAGTGGTTTAATATGCCGGTTAAATGCCATGTTTTCCCGGAGTATTTTTGGACAAAAATGACACCAAGAAAACGCAGCAAAAACACCGAATGCTGACAGAAATTATAAATAAGTGTAGAAGAAACTGATTGTGCCTCGCTTCCCAAGGACTTCATAATTCGATGACCATAAAGCTATCAAAGTGATTAACGTAAGCGATTCCCTTTGTAACTGCGGAATTACCAGACTTTACCCAAATCGTGTCACGAAAGGTGGCGGTGATATTTGTACAAGCAAAATTTGACAGACGCCGAACAAACAGGTGCTGAGTGGTCAACAGACTGAACGCGACCATTTCAACATGCCACAAACACTGCGTGGTAGATGTCGTGGGTGCTCGTATAATGTTTCTGACAAGTTCTGTAAAAACCATGAAAGCTGTTTATCAGCGCCTAATTTTTTAAGTTATCTCTGGTGGCAGCATCATACCGCAGCGCTGGAGCATGAACTCGTTTCCAGATCCAGCGAAAATCCACTCCCCTGATTTTGTTCATAAATGCTGCTATCCGACCCTGTATGTATTACGTTTATTTGGCGTTATTAATGCCACGCGACTTCCGAAGAAGCACCACAGTATCGTGCGGTTGCTAGACCGCATGCTAACACTATGGCCAACTGGGCTGCTCCTGGGGGCTTTTGCTGTAGGTGGTATCCAGATTATCGATGCTGTTGATAATCTGAAAAGCGTACCGCACGGCAATATCGAGTTAATAAGGGGATTAGAGGACCTAATGCACAGTGCCTGGATTCCCGCTACCGGCATCGCCATGAGCATGGGATTCTGGGATTTTGAATCATGGCTGGTGGAATTCAGCACCGTGGCAAGTCGGAATTTAACCACAAAGAATAGGAGACAGTTAGTTGCACTGTTATATGCGCTGCTGATTTTTTGTGCGTGTTCAGTTTTTACTTCGATTCGTCCGCTTGTCATCAATACACGTCAAATCACCATGGATAATTCGCTTATGCAAAAATGGACTGCATATTCTGGGGACTTCTACGTTTATCCTCTGGCTGTGACACTGTACGCCGCGAGTTTCTTGTTTGGTTGTCATTTTTGCCTGGCGCAGTGTATCCACATTTTTCTGTCCGTCGTCACGATACTGTGCTTTGAGAACCTGGCGCAAGCATCTCAACGTATAACCAATAGTTCTACTGATATCATGCAGCAGATGTTGCAGGAGCATGATGCTTTGACTGCCAAGATTGCCGAATTAAACCACAAGATCCAGGGTATCCTGTTTTGGCTATACTCACAGGACTTAATGTCGGTACTATTTATTATCACTGTCGTACAAACGGAGCCGGATCATGTGACCGACTGGGCACCATTAGTGGGAACAAGCCTGGGTTTGGCGGCACTCCGAACCTTCGTTTTTGTGAAATTAAACTTGAAGGTACCCGTTGCACAGTTCAAACAACTTGGAATAAGGATGGTCCATTAATACAAATTTACTACAGAAAGATTATTGTGGCAATCATTGCTGCTTCAGCGACGTATTTATTGGCATACTCTATGGCAAGGTTGCAATAATGTGATGTGTTTATAGGCCACCAAACTTCCGGACATTGTAGCTGCTCGCGTAACCAGTGCACCATGTGCAACATACAAGCAGAACGCATCCCTCTGGCTACAAGTCTCGGACCGGCGCTGTATTGGATTTAATGTGGGAGGGCTCGTGCGGGTCGACGGCCGGTTCGTTCTCGGAGTAAGACCGGGAGTCGTCTGCTTTTAAGGATATAAAACAAGTGTATGGAATAATAATTGTTGCAGATAACAGGAGTACTGGCAACATACACTATGCTTATGCGGGATGGAGCAAAATGTTCGGCATCAACAGCAACTGCCGCAAATTAATCACATGCAGCGCTTGTAGACTAAACTCATTCCATCGAGCAATGTATGGGGATGGTGCTTTTTTTGTGTTTTCGTTTAATGTTGTATCCTATGGGGTACCACACATGTCAAAATTTCCGAAGCACTTTGTTCAGTTTGAGCCCCCGGTTTTGCATGATTAAACTGTGGTATTAAATAGGCTTTCCTCAACTGCTTTTGGACTGCATGCATTTCATAAAACAGCTTTTAATCGACTTTGTTTTTGGAACGTCCGTTGGCCTCAGCTACAGCTGGCCAAATTCGTTAATCCAACGGGAAAATGCAGTTAGGGATTTTGGCTGCCAAGGATACCTAGATAAAATAAAAAATGAATCAGGTGAATGCTATTAAAATTTGGCGTCAAGTAATTTGTGGTTACAGTTATCAGATAATTTAGTTTTTGAATTAGCCTGGATTAGGTCCAGCCTGCAGTTAGCTGCCGTTGAGCACTTTGATCACAAAGTTCAGTTCGATGCATCATGCATGTGACAGCATGTCGAAGTACACACATGGGCGGCTATTAACGAAAAATATCGGCATGGAAAAAAGGGAAAATCGACCCGCTTTGAAGGAAACTGTAAGCGTTTATGTTCTAAAGTTTGTTTTGCAAAGCTGGGAGCCTGAAATAAATCTGGGATTTACTGCCAACCCAATAGGGTCCCGCGCAATACATTGTTAGTGTCAAAAGTAACTGAAAAAACTATTTTTGGCAATAATGCTATGATGACACAAAGGTTATTTCGCTATGCTGCGATATGCCGATTTAGTACACTCATTGCGCCTGCAGCTGGCGTCGCGCGATTGTGGCATTCAGCCATCAATGTATAGTATTTGTTTCCTCACCACAGGTGAGGAAACCTACAGTATTACAGTGACAGCCGTAATGTTAGACATGTCACATGTCTCATTAAACAATACTAGTATGTCATCACTGTATTTTCGTGCTTTCGATCTGCCAAAATGTCAGTTCAACGGCTAAAACGCAACGTGGGGAACAACCACACTTGCTGGATCATTTTTATTTTGCTCAGATTTACCCTATCGTTCCTTATAGTTGTCTTCGATCCGTTGCTTGTAGTTATGAAATCATCAATGGAAGTGAAAGATTCCCGATTCCCGGATTTTGTTAGAAAATCCTGCTTTTTACCTTTCTGTTTGCTGCGCGTACTTGGCGTGGTTACATGTACAAATTTCCACGAACGATCGCGAAAACTTCAACAAATCCTCGACAAGTTTTTAACCGTCTGGTCAATATGGATGGTCATGGGAACTCTTACTGCAGGTGCCATTGAACTGAGCGAATATGTCCCTAAATTGAAAAACGTTCCTCGCAGCACTACTGATCTGCTCGGCAGCATAATGGACGTTATGTACGGCGTTTGGCTGCCGGCTACCGGCATAGCACTGAGTATGGCATTTTGGAATTTTGAATCGTGGCTGATGGAATTTAGTATTACTGCTGGGCGTACTATGACAATAAAGAATCGCCGACAATTGCTCGGAATACTCTTTGGGCTAATGGCTTTATTTGCTTACGCCGCATTCTCGGCTCTCTATCCCCTTGCAGTTAACATACACGAAATCGCAACCAACGTTCCGTTGATGAAACATTTGATTCAACGTTCCCGTTACGTTTATCCAGCGGCTGTCGTGCTGTACTCCGCAAGCCATACGTCTGCTTGTCAGTTTCCCTTGGCACAATGTATGATGATCTTCGTGTCATCTGTTGCAATAATGTGCTTCGAAAATATATCCGACGTGTATTATTGCACAACTAGTTTCGATATTATGGAAAAAATGGTTATGGAGTACGATATTCTCGCCGGCCTAATTATTCAGCTGAATCAAAAAATCCGAAGCTCGTTATTTTGGTTATATTCACTGGATTTCATGACAGTGCTGTATTTAGTCTCCATATTTCGCACGCAGCCAGATCTGTTTACTGCCTGGGCACCACTTGCCGGGGCAAGCTTGGTTTCAGCGACTATCCGGACTTTCGTCTTCGTGAAACTAAACCGCAAAGTAAGTATCGAGTATCTATCCACTATCATGCCACCAAAATTCTGTCATATTACATCGACTGATGATGGACAGCGGGTCATCGGTGACCTTTCCTACTTGATCACAAATGTTGTTCGCTCCTTCGTTTTGCTATTCAGGCTGCTAAACTGGCGGATATCGTAGCCGATCGCATCACTAAAGAACCCTATGGAAGTTACAAACAGAACGCAGTTATATGGCTAATGGTCACAGACCGACGACATATTGGATTTGATGTGGGAGGACTGGTGCCGATCAACTCACGCTTTGTGCTTGGAGTAAGTCTATAAATCCAACACTTTTCGGAATTCATACGAGTAGCCAAGCTTCTTTTGCAAATTTTTCTAGATATCAGGGGTTCTGGCAACGTACATCATGCTCATGTGGGATGGAGAGAGGTCTTTGGATTCGAGTGCCGCAGGGTAAACGATTCTTTGCTGTATGCAGTTGCAAGTTGACCGTATAGAATCAGCAACAAGGAGCCAGCGCAGTGAACGAAATATTGCTGTTTCAGTTTGCTTTTGTTTAGACAAGGAACCACTGGCAATTGTTGAGACCCTTTGCAAAGTAACATAAGTTTGCAAAGTAAGTTGGTAACATTATTTTAACTCGGGCAACTGTAAGGCGCTTTTTTGCTTTAGAGTCAATTCAAATAATAATTGCATGAGTATCTTCTTGGATTGCAAATAGACTCAATCCCATTTGTAAACTCTAACAAGACGGTGCAGCTGTAATTTACACACTAATAATTGATGTTTGACGCCAATACGCTTGGCTTGGTGTGACGGTTGTTTATTTCGCCTCAAGTTTTTTAGGCTCGACCTATAAATTGCGGCAGCGTTTAAAAATTTTTGTCTGATAACAGTTGTTTCGACGAAAAGCATTGATAGGACATAGCGCAAAGGCAAACATAGTTATGGGAAATCCTATCCCGTTGATATCGCAAGAAGGTTTAGGACGTTTATACAGACCTGGAGAACCAAAAGCTACGACGATGAGATTAACAAAGCGCGCTTACTTGCCCAGTCACGGCCGGAAGCAGGCATTTGGCTGAATGCATTGCACTCCGCTCATATAGGGAATTTGCTTGACGACGACACGCTGAAAATTTCGGTTGGCCTCCGACTTGGCGCGGTTATCTGTGAACCACATGAGTAACCACATGGAAGGCTGTATTTTTTATTGAATGCAGGCACGTAATAACAGAGGCAATTGTACTGCTGAATAAGTTTATCCATATCAGCCGGGTCTGTAGGGTCGGCGTACCGTGCCGCGATCTGGTCAAAACACATTGTTGACACAGTTGATAGAAGAACAATGACACATTGTGCCAGGCGAAACTGACACTGGAACAGGAAGTTAGCACTGTACACGCCACCATCACTGGATAACCATAGGTGGTATTAACAATCCAGCTTGTTAGAATCCGGGTCATAATAGTGATTTCGTAGGAGAAGGCAACGAGGGACTTTATGGCCATGTAGAGCAAGTAAGCAAAAAGAGTTATCAGGACCAGGATGAGTCCGACTAGTTGCTTACGACCACTGGCTGTTAAATAACGTGCGGAAAAGGAACTGAAATCCACTAGCCACAGTTCGAAATTCCAGAAGGCCCTGCTTAGTGAGATGCCGGTGGCTGGCAACCACACACCGTACATTGAATCCATTAGTGTGCGAATTAACACGGTGGTTGAACGCGGTATATCACGGAGACTGGTGAGTTGATCAATCAGTTTAACGCAGGACAAGGCGCTGGCGCTCAAAAACATCCCAATCGCCCATATGATTAAAAACGATTTAGATAGACCAACAAGCGGCACTTTTGCTCAAAATAATTTTCCTTGGAGATCACACCTAGGATGCGTAAGAAGTGCAATATAGGCTGACAGATGTTATATATGAAGCGAGGAGAGGTTTCGGACGTTGAGAATTCCATACTTTGTGCATATACTGCAATAAATACTGAGCTGTAAAGTTTTGGTTGTTCAGATGGTGACCTTGTAGATTTTCTACCAAGCATCGTTAAGGAAAGTGCTAAAGTCGATTGCTTTTAGGTTTATCTTCTACGTAACTTTGAACTTCTATTCGAGTAGTCTCTGACATCTGATATACGAGCACAAGACATTGGACACATTTGTGCCAGGCAGCTGAACCTCTGGAGTTGGACAAGTAAAATCCGGCTGTTAAACAGGTGTTCGTACAAACGGCCTGCGCGGCATAACTGAGCCAAATTCCAAGCGTACTGGATTCTTTCCCAACTTTCATTTAGGTGTCAACAAATAAAATGGATCGACAGGAGAAAACAAAATCGAACTGTTTAGCATATGTAACCGTCCTCAATACTTTGTATAATGTAGGGTAATGTAGTTATTTTGTGTTGTTAAGAAACACTTATCCATTGATTCATTATTTTATTTTATTAAGCCATTGATTTATTATTTTAAAACACAACAACAGGGTTACCGCTTGCCACATTTCGTTATTTATCACATTCTTGGCTGATGGTGATACTCGTACATGACCAAGGTTTAGCAGGTTTGAGTAGACCAGCTAGATAAAACTGTTTGCATCGATGGAGGCATTTTGTAAGAAAAACGGGTAGGCTAAGAAGGATAAGGAAATACATTTTGTAAGGACAACGGGTTGCTTTAAATAGCGGGTAGGTTGAAAAGTTACACGAACAACAACAGCTCGTTCAACGCATGCGACGAACGGAACAGATGCTAACCGTATTTCAGCGGGGCAGCGAATCGTTTGACTGTCCTGTGGCGATGGACGGAGAGCAGTTTTCGCCGTCCCACATAAGCATGCAGTATGTCCCAATTATTCCTAACACCTAGAAAGAGTCGGTATTAGCTGGTTTGTAATTTAAACACTGTTAATTTTTATTTTATTTTTTATTATGGTCTTTAGCAAGGATGCTAGTTTACAAAACTATAGGCATTCGGCAGGCGCTTACTGCGAGAACGAATCGGCAGTTGATATGCACTAATCCTCCCACGCTGAAGCCAATATGGCGCCAACTCATGATCTGCAGCCACACTGCCGTATTCTTCTTGTACAATCCATACGGCATGTCCGTAATGCGAACGGCAACGGAATCGATCAACTTCGTGGCCTGTAATATGGAATTAAAAAGAGCCCAAAGAAGAAAAGCTACCATAATCATCAAATACTATATTATCCACTGCAATGAGAACGTACTGCGATATTCAGCTTTACAAAACTTAAAGTCCGGACAATAGCATAGGTCAACGATACGCCATATGTTGGAGCGAATGTCATCAGTAGTTCGGGTGTAGTGCGTAATAAACTAATCAGAAAAAGTATCATCATCAAATCACTCGAATACAACCAAAACAGGGATGGCTGTATCTTCTTGTTCAATGCAAGCAGATAATAACTGAGGGAATTATACTGCTGAAGAAGCGTGTCCATCTTGGCCTGGTCAGTTGTATCAGCATACAGAGCTGCGATCCGGTCAAAGCACATTGTTGACACAGTTGACAGGAAGACAATGACACATTGGGCTAGGCGAAACTGACATTGAAACAGAAAATTAGCACTGTATAACGTCAACGTTACTGGGTAGCCATAGCTGGAATGATCGATCCAGTTAGATAAAAGCCGAGTCATGATGGTGATGTCGTGCGAGTAGATTATCAGAGATTTTGTGGTCATGCAAAGCATATACACAAAAATAGTTATCAATGCCAGTGTAAGTGCGATTAACTGCTTGCGACCGTTGGATGTTATATAACGTCCGGCAAAGCTAGTGAAATCCACCAACCACAACTCGAAATTCCAGAACGCCCGGCTCAGTGAGATGCCCGTGGCCGGTATCCACACATCGTACATCAAATCCATTTGTGTACGGATTAACTCGGTGTTGGAATGTTACGAAGTTTTGTGACTCGATCAACGAGATGTATGCAGGACACGGCGCTGGCGCTAAAAAAAATTCCAACTCCCCAAATAATTAACAAACTACTGAGAAAGGTCATCAAGCGGCGCTTCTGTTTAAAAGAATTTTCCTTAAAAATCACACCAAGGATGCGTAGGAAATACAGCATGGGCTGGCAGATACTATATATAAATCGGGAAGAGTTTTCGGATGTTGAGAATTCCATACTTTTCATACAGTTGTATTAACTATTCTGGTGCAAATTGGAGATAACACAGATTAAAGACCTTGTAGGTTTTCAACTCAACATGCGTAAGTAAAATGTTTAAAAGCAGTTGACTTTTGGCTTTCGCTTACGTAATTTTAAACTTTTATAGCCACTGACATCTGATACAGGTACATGTACATATCACCACCATCGTGCCCTGCAACTGCACCTCTGGAGTTCGAAAAATAAAATCCACCTGTTAAACAAGTTTTTGGTAAGTAGAGCTCTAACGAGCCGAGCCAGGTTTTCGGCGCACACTTCGTTGCATTTTTCATCGAGATGTCAGCCATGTCGTGTCAAACAAGTGAAATGGGTCGACAGAAGCTGGCAGACAGTAAAGTAAGGAATATTTTGGCAGTGCTGATATACTGCTTTGACGTTTAACGCGCAGCAGCACTAGTCCTCGAAAACATGTAATCTAAGTCGAAGTTTTTTTCCTCAGTATTACAGGTGAGTCTACGTACCGTAACGGTCAGTAACCTGAAACTGTTTCCTGTACCACGTCCCCAGTAGCCACCGGCTTTTGATTGAATGCAGGATGTCTTCGTCGCACTGTAAAAACACTTGCGCTGCATTTGCTTAAAAAGAATCGAAAAGACATTCACTATCTAAACGTTCAACAAATCATTTAGATATTTTGGTGACTATTAATTTATCTAGTACGGATTGGTTTGCTGTTTTAATGATAACAGCTTCTATCGTCGCATCCCGTAATGAAATCATCGTCAGGTTTAAATCCACCTGTTTCCACGAATTTTATCTACAATTGTTGCTGCATACCTTTCTATGTACTGCGCCTTTTTGGTGTCGTCAGTGGAAAGAAATACACGAAACGGTGCGACAAAATGTTGCGGTTTCTGGACGGCAGCTTAACTGTGTGGTCAGTAGGGATGGTATTGGGAGCAATCACTGTTGGCGCTATCGAATTAACGGAATCCATCGACAATTTAAAGAATGTCCCGCAAAACAATGTTGTTCTGGTCCGCCGAGTCGTGGATGTCATGTATGACGGTTGGTTGCCGGCAACCGGTATCGCACTGAGCTTAGCATTTTGTAATTTTGAACCGTGGCTGATGAAATTTAATGAAGTTGCTGGACGTAACTTAACGATTAACAATCAGCGGCAGCTACTTGCACTAAGTTTTGCGTTGTTATTACTGTGTTCATACGCAATTTTTACGGTTATTAATCCGCTCGTAAAACAAGCATACGCCATCGTAACAGCCGTTCCGCTAATGAAAACTTTGACGGATCATTATACTTTTGCTTATCCAGTGGCTGTGGCACTGTACTTTATAAGCTTTGCTTTCACTTGCACTTATCCTCTGGCACAGTGTATTTTTGTGTTCCTTTCCGCCGCTGCGATATTGAGTTTCGAAAATATTTGTGACGAATATAGACGCGTAAACAGCGTGGATATAAGGGAAAAAGTGGTTCAAAAGTACGATACTCTTTGTGCCCTGATAATTCAATTCAATGGAAGGATCCAAAGTGCGTTATTTTGGCTATATTCACAAGATTTCATGACACTACTGTTCTTGATTACTATCTTACGGACACAGCCAGATAGGCTTGCTCACTGGGGGCCTTTTGTGGGGACAAATATCGCCTGGGCGACTATTCGCACCATCTGCTTCGTGAAACTGAATCTTACGGTAAATACTGGGACGCTAAATTCCCAACCTTCGTTGCTGACTGAGCATAAATTTGTGGTCACTAATCGGTTGCAGTATTGCAGTATTAAGAAAAAAACTATAATCATCCTGTTCCTTCGCTGTTTCTGGTAATTAAGAACTTTATTTTGTGACGTACAGGCTGCCAAACTGCCGGATATTGTAGCCGATCGTATCGCTCAGGAAACGTACAGAAACGGTGCGTGCACGCCAAGCGCAGCCATATGGCTGCAGGTGACAGACCGGCGTCATATTGGGTTTAATGTGGGAGGACTCGTGAACATAAACTGCCGGTTCATTCTCGGAGTAGGTTCACATAATATTATTATATTGCACAATTTGCATACTTACATTTTTAACAGTATTAAAATTTCAGATCTAAGTAGAGCTGTTGTTGTATTTCCAGATAGCAGGATTGCTGGCCACGTATACCATGCTAATGTGGGGCGGACAAGAGTGTACGGGATCAGCTATCCTGGCTGCAAATAACTCAGCCTTGAGCACGGGATGAGCTATCACATATGAGCGGTCATTTTTATAGAAAAACCTTCGTAATAATATGTATTTTTTGACATTCGTATATATGTGCATGTACCGGTATCAAAATTTCACACACTAAATAGCATAAGGCTGTTAATCAACTCATAAAATACTTGTAAGCAGATGTGGAAAGCAAATTGTTGCGGTTGCAGGTTAATAAGAAAACGTGTGTGCGAGGCAAACATGCGTATGTACAAGAGATTATGAGACTGAAAGATCACATCCACACCATTATTACATCACTCTATTCGCATTTAGCATAAAATCCGCAGCTGACAAAAAAGCAGTAAAGCGTAAACATGTCACAATTTTGTCATCAAATTGAATTTTACGACAAAACTGCGGCTTGTGAAGGTCACTCCGTCCTTATTCCTAATTGTAAGAGTGTTAGCAGAAAATCCTGGATAGGTGCAGTTTCCTCAAAAAGCCCCGTAGCCAGACGGTATTAGCTGTCCTGTGACCTTATCGCGCTTACACAATCAAGATTTAAATAATAATCTCCAAAGCGCTGACGCACTGTACACTGCCTCCCATAGAAGATTTTATTTTTGTCAAATAAATCCAAAGGAATTCACCAAAGCGTGATCGAGGTATCTGGAGGGCATTCACTGCACCGGGTGGTTTCACAGCCCTTTGCGGGTAAACATCCTTTGTATACAATCCGACAACTGGCAACGCCATACAATGGATCATACAATCCAAATGCACCTTGGGACTGCTCTGCTGGGAAAATATTCATGCCCCTTTTGGATACGACATATTGTTGGACCACTGTATTGCGACTCTGATCAGTAATAATACAATTCCAGAGCGACCACTGGTTTCAGTTCATAAACAATAACGACAATGAAAAACGCGAATCTCAGTGATTGTTTATACTGCATAATATACAAGGCACATTCGGTGTACCAGTTATGGGTATAAATGAACTGTGGTTCTGTGGTTTCTTTAACTTAATCTACAGTGAGTTTAAGAACGAATACAACACATTCTCTGCGTACACGTTGCGTCGCCACATCTCAACGCAGCTCCGATACCTTTCTGCAAAATGTCAAACATGACCTTCCACAATACCAGCAACGAAACCATCGTGCAAAGCAACTCACAATACGCCGCATGGATCATGATCCCGGTGACCCTGACCACCCTCACAGCCAATATCCTTCTCATCCTGGTGTATATTAAATTCGGGCGCTTGCAAACGCCCTTTGCCGTCTACATCGTCAGCCTGGCTACCGGTGACCTGGCACAGACCCTCACCGTGCACATTCACAGTATCTTCACACTTATGTCCATTTGGCCGCTGGGTCAGCCCTTTTGCACGTTTATCCTGTACACGTGCTGGGTGTTCCTGTCCTTCTCTTATCATATGCACGTGTTGATTTGCACGAATCGTGTATGGGCCGTAATGTTCCCCACACACTACCGGATGTACCACAATAAAAAGGTTGCACTGTGCCTGGTACTGGGCATGCTTCTATACTTGAATGCATGGACATTGCCGGGATTCGTTATTCATGTGCTGTACTATTCTGGTTCGGATGGATCGCCACTGTGCATACCGAGTTATCCGCATGAACTTGCCTGGTCTAATCCGAATTATGTGGCCATGTATTTGGTGCCGGAGGCGCTGGTGTTAGTGATGTACCCGGTGATCCTGTTTAAAATTAGAGGAAAGATCAAGTTCCGAAGTACGGCTGTACGGGATGTCACCGGGACCAGTAGAAATTCCAGCCGCAGAAAAAGCTGTAAGATGTCCTATCAGTGTTGCTTAACTAAGACGTACAGTATACAAGTACTACAGTAATCAAACGATTTCTTTATTTTTAGTGAATATTTTACCGTCTCTACGTTCCAGTCAGCACAATACATCGGGTTCCCTTAATACTGGGAATGACAAAAAGCACCATAGTTCCGCTCCGCGCCCCCACTTTGCCATGCTCACGGCGCTGGTGATGGTGGCGGTTATGTGCTGGACACCAATTAACACGGCCTATGTCTTAGTGTATTTCCAGGGAATTCTTCTTTACAGTCTCATGACACCGTGCACGGTGGTCTTCTTCTTGGATGCGCTGTTGAATCCCATGATTTTTCTCATTGCTTCCCGCGAATGGCGAGATGCGCTGAAGAAACTGTTTCACTGTTAGTTTATGCACACGCCTACCGTCTGATCGTTTGTAAATTCAAAATCATTATTTTCTTTTCATCGTTCGGTATGGTATTTATCGTCAGCAGCTTACATACAGCAGTCGTTCAGCTGAAGTCTGCAGTAATATTATAACAACCTCGCATGGGTCTTTTTTTATTAACTCGATTTTGCAAGAATGTTTTCAATCATCAATAAATATTAATGAAAAGTTTAACCTGGTATGAGACAAGGTAATACGTTGTCAAAGGACGGATTCAAACTGCGTCTAAACGGTAAAATGGAAAGCTGCATTTCTTTTGTGCTAATTGTTATGTCGAACAGCGAAAAAAGGCTTACAGTGGTTGACTGGCCGGCAGGGTGTAAAACCTGGCACTGGCAAGTGCCTGTGGCGTTGCCACTGGCATGGCAGGGGATAAAACCTGGTATGTTTTCCCTCTGGCTCGTAATAAAATATGGCATGTGCCAGAAAGCACGTGAAACAGTGTTTAATTTATTAAGTAGAAAAATATTGACATTGTACAAGGTGTTTTCTACAAGGTACAACAAAGGTACATTTACAAAGGTACATTGTTTCTACAAGGTACATTTTCTACAAGGTTTTCTACAACAAAACATTGACATTGTACAAGGTACATTGTACAAGGTGTCATTGTACAAGTTGCAAGTAAAATCGCGATGGTGTCAAGTTGACACCAGGACACTGTTCACTGCATTTAGCCGCAAATGCTCAACTGAATCCGTGCACAGGCAAAAGTTACAAGACCGTATTACTTTTCTCTACGAATTACACCCACCGGCATGCATAGCTCGATCAGCAATTAATATGCAGAGTATTTATTACAGTACTTTCATTATACCCATTTCGCTTATAGAAAAACATAGCAATATAGCAATTAATTGCGTAACGGTGCCTGAAAAGAAATTCGAGAAATATACTTACCCAAACCACACCGCTCGACGAAACACTCCTTCAGTTTGCAGACAGTTGGCAACAACTTGGCATGAACGATGCATGCGGAATATTGTGATGCGAAAATCCCAGTTGTCTTTGGACACCAATTGGCGCCCACAGTTCGCTTTAGTGAAACTTTTTATTCTACCAGCGGACTTGTTCTGCCCCGATTGTACTTTTACGTGACGGTGTAAAGGTTACGGTACAAAATTACAATAAGACAAAATTTCCAACAGATCAAAATGACGCCGATCTTAGCGCAGCTGCAGAATTGTAAGTTAATGCAGGTAAGCCATCCGGGAAATAGGCGCTGTGTGATGTGGCGAAAAAAGCTTACCGTAAGGGCCGTAAGGCTGTAATGTGATCCTCTGAAAAGCCCTTTATTCTACACTACATACAGATAGATATGTAAATAATAAAGTTCCCTTTTGAATTGTTAACATCAGAATTCAAATTACGTAATTAGTTGCATCATTTGCATCCAAGTAAATTAGAATTGCTTCTAACTGTATCTGTTCAAACGATCGTTACAATCTCAGTAAATTTTATATTGATGTTTACATGTGCAGTCTTACTACAACCGGCACAAAATAAAAATAGACGGAATATAACGGAAATGACAGCCATTGAAAACAGAATACAAACTTAACCTCAATGCTGATTCATTTTTAGCTTTGACTGCATAAGTGTATATGAAAACTGGCATGACTGATAGTTGAAATTTTGGGCCACCTGTTGTTTGGGAAGCAGACTCAATGCAATGATAAGAACAGTTGCTTGCAAAAATCCAGCTGGCTAACTGTACTTGTATTATGCTTATGTGCGTATGTTCATGAGCTGTGCACGTACAAGGCGCCGTTTTTTTAGTAAAGCGGTGTAATTTCACATCAGCATCGACCTCCGCTTTCACTGGATCACGTTTACTGTACAAAGAGACATAACATTTATTACGATAGTTACCATTTAGACATCAAACGCTATCACTTTGAAGATAAAATTACTGCCCTGCGTTCAACCACCGTTTGTTATGTAGATGGCACACTACTAACACTTACAACTGTCAAGAAACTTAGAATAATTTTTATTGATTGTAAGTTCCGGGACATTTTTGAATGGGTTAGTTTGCCATAGCGCTTGGAAGTGTACTGGTATTGGACCTTATGGATGACCACTGGGAAAGCGTTCAGAGTTGACACACAACATCGATTATAAGTACGGATATTGATAAGTACCGATATTGTGAAATGTGTTAATTAAATGTGCTACCGATATTGTAAAGTGTGTCGAATTTAACAAGTGATAAATCAAAATGTGAAGTTGGAGTTACGTATGCTGAATAAGTTCACAGGTGAATATTACTGCTGTTACGAGTATTTCCCTCCCGTTCTAGGATCCCAATAGCGCGCTTGACAGTCGCAATTGGCGCAAAGAATTAAGATCGCGAAGTGCTGAACAGGTTACAATCGCCACCCAAGAAAGAGCGACAGTCGTAAATATTCAGGCTGATCAAATAAGATACAGCCCTGCTACGCCAAATTCAAACAGTTCTGTTAAAAAAATATAATTAAAAACCATTTTGATTGGTGTTTTCGTACTTTACTGTACACTTTTATAGTGCAACTTTTTATTGAAAATCAAGCATTTTTCTAACCGAAATCTTCCAGTTTGATTTTATAAAAATTAGTCGTCGACAACATGATATCGCGCTAGTATATCAAAGTATACCAATTTTTTTTAGCAATTTTATATTTATAGCAATTTTACAAAACTTGCATATCGCAAATTTTGTGATGGGTACGGTTACGAAATTTCGCAAGAAAGTGGTTTAAAATCGGTTAGCAGTGGCGTTATCAAAAATTTTAGCAGGTGGTATTTGTCTTTTTGTACTGCCAATTGCAACGTGCTGCGCCTTGCCCATTCGTACATAAAACTCGCGCGTTTTTTGCCGTTTATAGTATCTTTAAAGTTTTATGCGTTTTAAGAATCAAATTATGTGTTTTCTGGCACATGCCATATTTTATTGCGAGCCGGAGGGATAACGTACCAGGTTTTATCCCTTGCCATGCCAATGGCAACGCCACAGGCACTTGCCAGTGCCAGGTTTTACACCCTGCCTGACTTCTTCGGAACCTTTCCACTTCTTCGGAACACACTTCTTCGGAACCTTTCCACGCCTCCAAGACCGCCGGGATCGCGCGGGTTGAGGTATCGCTTCATTACATTAGTTTCTCCATCGGCTTTGTTGCAGCAGGAGGAGACACAGTTGATCTTAAATATACGGCATAACCGTAATACGCTGGGGATAAGACCAGCCATTACGTCAGAGTGATCCACTGAATTCTGGTTCGGCCCGCCCCTTTTTGGATGGTACGCGAGCGTAGTTTTCTAACACTGCCTTCAATCTGGTCCGCCTTTCTTTTTTTCCCACGTAGGAGAGCCATGACCGGAAACAAAGGTCTACGAGGTCGCTTACGGGAAGACCCTTGGTTGTCGAGGCTTTCAGTCGATCGTTTTTGACCCTTCCTCGGTGCGGTCGGGGAAAACAACGCTATGCGCGCTGCTTTTGTTGGTCGCGATTCGACACTTTCGTCTTGATGACGTTTGGAACCTTTCTTCGGTAGCGACGCCGGAAACAAAGCAATGCGTGCGGTCTTTGGTTTGTTGCTGTCTTCAGGATCGTTTTCACGGTCGCGCTTCTTTCCTTTAGTGGGTAAATCGGATGGGAATAAAGGTTGTCGAGGTTGCTTCGTAGGAGCAGCTTCCTCAAATTCTTCTGGTATCTTTCGTTTTTGAGAAGTTGGCTGTTCTGACTCTTGTGTTTCAACAATCATAGCTTGCGGTGGCAGTCGGGAATACGGACGGAATACCGAGGGTTGTGGATTCCTTTCCGCAGCTATTGGAAGCGGTTGTGTGACTACGTCCGTGGGTAATTCTAACGGATTTTCATCAGGAATGGCTTTCTGTTTCAAGGCAAGGAACCGTTCTAGGATACTACTCAGCTGGCTGGCTTTTTCATACTCGCTTATATCAGTACGTTGGAGCGTTTGAGTTACGAGAGCGTCCAGCGATAAAACACTTTGTGCTTCCGGGGGTTCTCTGTTTATCTGGAGCTGTTCATGGAGCCGGCTTTCCAATACTCGGCGTGGAACAATAAAGTATTCATCCATTTCCGATAAGAGAAGTTAGAACACCGGCAATGACTGGCAAGATGGCTCCAATAAATCCTCCTTGCTGAATCAGTTTGCGTTTTTCTTTCAAAGGGTAGCGACGTAAGGCAATCAGCTTTAATGCTTTCCGATACCGTTTGCACTTATCTGTTTCGGCGGGAGATAAGTTAATTGTATTTTTCACAATATTGACAGCCACTTCTTCCAGCGCTTTAAGTTGCGATTTGGTTAGGTAGCTCACAAGGACTTTTCGCTGCTTTGGCTTCAAGTGCTGCAGCGTGATGATGAAGGGCGCTAAGGCCTTTACCCTTTCCGACATTTTGGTAAAGTGTTTGCTGAGTTCTTTTTCAGATAAATCCGCATTCGTTCACCTGGTAAAACATGGGATCGTATCCTTAAATAATCTAGGCACGTTGGGCGTAAGTCCAATACCAAAGGTTGATAAGGCTCCGATGTTACTTTGCTGTATGCGTCGACCAAATGTTTCAGTCCGGTTTGACGTGCCAGTAATGCGATTTGATTGACATCCCGGACGTTCTTAAATAGTATCAGGTACTGCGAATTGAGTGTGATGTCACGCATGGATTTTCCTTGTTTGTACAGGTTTTGCAGAAGCAAGATGACGGAAACGTTCTTGTGATGAATTCCACGGGTAAACAGGTCCGAACATCGAGAATCTTTGCACAGATCGGTAGCCAAATCGTCAATAATAACCAAGGTATGAGTCTTACTGTCAACTGACTGCAAAACTGAGAATAGGTCGTCCAGACCCTGCAGGAATTCAACTGGAGTAGCCTGTTTACGTAAAGTTTTGAAACCCTTCTGCCATTGACCGTAACAGTATAATATCCTCGTTGGTTGTTGATCCAGAACAAAGTT